GTTCTATTGCTGCTGGTGATTAAAGCTGTGTTAAAGCCTGCCCTTCTTCATTCCCTAAATCAGTGGTTCTCAACCTGTGGGTGGAACCCCCGGTGGCACAGTGGGTTAAACCCCTGTACCGGCAGGACTGAAGACCGACAGGTTGCAGGTTCGAATCTGGGGAGAGGCGGATGAGCTCCCTCTATCAGCTCCAGCTCCTCATGCGGGGATATGAGAGAAGCCTCCCACAAGGATGATAAAAACATCAAATCATCCAGGCGTCCCCTGGGCAATGTCCTTGCAGACGGCCAATTCTCTCACACCAGAAGCGACTTGCAGTTTCTCAAGTTGCTCCTGACACGACAAAAAAAAAAAAAAACCTGTGGGTCCCCGGATGTTTTGGCCTTCAATCCTAACAGATGGTAAACTGGCTGGGATTTCTGGGAGTTGTAGGCCAAAACACCTGGGGATCCACAGGTTGAAAACCACTTCCCTAAGTGAAGGCATTAGGGACTGAAGAGTCATTCCAGTTCAATGATGGTGATTTCCATGCAAACCTGAACTGCTGCTTGAATGTGTTGAATGGAAATCACTACTACTCTACCCAACCCCACCAAAGAAGATAGACAGGTGAATATGTATGATTGTGTTTTGGAGAAGGATCCAGGGGGAGAAATTCCCCGCCACAGGCCACGTGCCCACTATTTCAGTCCACTCCCATTTCTGAACACGATCCCATCTCTTGTCCCATTAGAGAGCTGATTAAGGCTAAAAGCTTTTCAGTTCCAGTATCTCTGCTGGCGATCTCTTGAGCAGGAGAGCTGATGTCTCAGAGCTTCCTGTTGCATTTGTGATGCTCCGGGTCCATGCCAGAGTACAGAATATCAGTTCCCAGATGTTGGAGTGACACTCCTTGCAAGCAATCCACTGATGGGGATGCAAACAGTACAGCAGATTGCCAATTACAGTTCCAGAATAGGCTTTGTGGAGCATGGTTTACAAAATCTGTCGGGAAATTGTTTGTGAAAGAGAAATATCTCCTAGAAAACCTTCAGAAGATTGATAGGTTTTGTTTTGCTTGTGTGGCTGTGAGCAGATGAGAGACAGGGAGAGAACTGACACAATGTGAAGGAAGAGAAAAATTAAATTTGTTTAAGAAGCCTTTTATGTAATATACATTCATGCAAGATAGATACAAGATTGGCTTTTAAAAAGCAATAGTGTGGGCTGCTCATTTTTTTTCTGAATGGGTTGGTTAGCCTTTTTGTAGGGACACATTGCAAAGTGTAGAGCAGGCATGTGCAAACTTCGGCCCTCCAGGTGTTTTGGACTTCAACTCCCACAATTCCTAACAGCCTACCGGCTGTTAGGAATTATGGGAGTTGAAGTCCAAAACACCTGGAGGACTAAAGTTTGCCCATATCTGGTGTAGAAGGAGAAGCAGTCTGTTCTTTTGGCTCTTTATGTGTACCTTTTTTCTACGACCATGTCCTTGCTTTCTCAGTTGTTTTCATGCTGTCCTAGCTGCATGTAAAAGCTTTGTCCTCTCCTCCCAGGACTCCTATTTTTGCATCATGCAAATGAAAGACCTTCAGAACAGCCATCTGTTAACTTGTGAGATGTGCAGGTGTTGCACTGGAATGAAGCACATGACCAGAAGCATTAACACCGCTCCTAATATCTTTCAAAGAAAAAGTATTAGTCTCTTTTGACGAAAGAATAATGGAGGCAAAAGAAAAGGAACATGACTATATCTTTTAAGTCTTTTATTTTGACATCATCTTTCATAAATATAAACCCACTTCAATCTCTATTACTTCTGAAATTGTGGGTTTATATCCACGAAAGCTCATGTTAAAATAAATAAAAACCATCTTGGCAAAGGCGCTGCAAGGAGAACTATCTCAAGAAAATGTCAACCTTTTGCCAACGCCTCCAACCACGCCTCTTCTGCCAGCCCATGTTGGTTTCCAAGATGGTCACGTTCCTTTTCTTTTTATCCTCTCTCCTTTTTTTTTACACGTGCCTAAATGAGCTTGGAAGGAACCACCAAAAAAGCAGTGCTCACAAAAGCAGGGCAAAGCAAGCATGCCAGGACTATGATCCTGACATGAGGTGGACTTTTGGGAGGTCTTTGAAGGCCCTCGGCATTGTTGACTGCTTAAAAAGCTATAATGACAATAGATCAGAGCTGGAAGGATGGTGCTGTAGTAACTTTGTGCCTTACCTGCTAAATTCACCATTTCTCAAGTGCTCAGTTACCACTTCTGCTTTGAGCCAGACTGGATGAGACACTGGAGGATTTTCTCAAAAGCTTCCTGATGGTGTCCCCTTCCCTGGAAAGCACGTACTCAGAATCAGTGTAACAACCCAACTTATGTGCATGTCTTATCCAGGAGCTTAGGGTCACAGTAGCCCCAAAATGTGTTTCTCGAGAAGTTCTTTTGATCCCAGCCCTATATTATAATAGAAGAAAACTTCTTCAATATCTTTGTTCTTAAGTGCCCTCAAGTTATTTCTGACTTAAGACAACCCTATCAAGGTTTATTTGGAGTGGTTTTGCCTATTCTTGAGGATCGGAAAGTGTGACTTGCTCAAGGTCGTCCAGTGGCCATGGCCAAATGGAGATCCAAACCCTGGTCTCCCGAGTTGTAGTCCAGCAATCACACCACTGCTTGCTTACTTACTTAGGCGATCCCTCGCTGTCCAAGTATGATGGCCTTCCAAGTGAAATGTCTGGGCTGTGGATACGTGGGTGACTGTGGAGCCCTATTCTTGATCTACATGTTCTTTCACAGGGAGGACATCGGTTTCCAGGTGGAAGGCAGTTCCGGTCAGGGTTGGCTTGACGCGTCTTCCTCTTTACATGTTTCTCCCTTTCACCCTCCATTTGTGCCTCTTCAAATTCCATAACACTGCTGCTCACAGCTGACCTCCAGTTAGAGTGCTCAAGGGCCAGAGCTTCTAGTTCTCTTTGTCTATGCCACAAGTCCATCAATTAATACATTACAGTGCCTCTCTAATGATATTTGGACCACTTTTAAAAATCTAATTTTATACAATCTATATTTCAGTGTCCTTTTATTTTCTGTGAGTTAATAAATAAACGAGATTTCCTTTTGAAGTTTGTATGTAGAGACTGAGTGGGTTTGGGTTCATAGTAAACTCTTTTTTAAAAACCTTCCTTTTTAAAGTTGTCCCAGGGCAACTATACAAAACTGTTTTAGGGAAAGTAAATAATATATGAAAGAGGTTTGCACAGATGCTCAAATTCTTGCATTTTATTGAGTACCAGAGACTAGTACGAATGTTGCTGTAATCTTTTATGATGCTCTTGTGGCAGCAATAGTTTCAAGGCCTGCAGCGTCTACAGTTCAAATTTCAGCACAAATGAAATTCTTAACTATCAAATTCTCGGGTCTTTTCATTATTATGATTATTGCCCAGTGTAAAGAGGGAAAGTAGTACCCCTGGGCAAACTTTTGTTCATCTTTAACACACTTATATTAACCTTTTTGCCATAAATAATCTCCTGACAGGCATGGCTCTAGTTAAAATATCTCTCTGTTGTCTTTTCACACTCAAGGTATTCTGATAAAAGTTGCTGATGCAGATTTAGTATCAATTGGCATGTGACATAAATGGCCTAAAAAAGTGGCTCTCAACCTGTGGATCCCTAGGTGTTTTGGCTTACAACTCCCAGAAATCCCAGTCAGTTTACCAGCTGTTAGGATTTCTGGGAGTTGAAGACCAAAATATCTGGGGACCCACAGGTTGAGAACCACTGGCCTAAAAGGATCCAATATGGTGTGATGGTTTGAAGGCTGGAGATCAGGGCTAGAATCGCCATTCAGCCATGGAAACCCACTTAGTAGTCACACCATACTCTCTCAGCCTCACAATGTGGCTATGGCAAACCTTCTCTAGACAAATCTTGCTGAGAGAAAAAAAAACCATGTTTGCCTTGGGGCAGTTGAAATGACTTGAAGACCCACAACAGCAACATAAAAACCACTTGCTAATGTAGTAGCTGTATGCCCATAGCTTGCATCTAGCTCCGTGACAATTTGTGTGCCCCATCTGACTCTGATACTTCTAAGTCATAGCATTTTTTCTGGGAAATATGGCCTGTATAGAGTACAGCCCTTGTTTCCCAGTAGAATAATATTTAGGCTATTAGAATCATAATTCAGTTGGAAAACAGGATGCCCTCTGCCTGCACACCTTGGTTTCTTACAAGATCAAAAGGATTTTGGGGAAAAAATGGCAGAATATTTCTTAACAGAGGCAGAAACAACAAGAGGATGTGGCACCATTCACTTGTCGTGTTCCTGGATGGGCAATGTGACAGTGTCAGGATGTTGCAAACATTTTAGTTTGAAACTTCAGGAACAAGTCTTGGCAGACCTCAAACTCATATGCAGATTCCTCTGTTCTCTTGGTCTGGCCTGATAACAATGCTTTTGCTTCCATTTTCATTTATATATGAGGTGTTGTGCCCAAGTCTAACTGATTATTATTATTATTATTATTATTATTATTATTATTATTTGATAAACAGTTTATTATAGTTATGGAACATAACAGAACAACAGATCGTCGCAGGTATAATCAAATAACAATTTTGATATATACATGCATATCTACATTAATCAACCAGTAATTTCTGACATTGAATGCATATTAATATCAGTAACTTAACATAAATCATTTAGTCTTGCTGCTTCTACATTTTACCCACTATTTTCCATCTATACTTTCTTCTCAATTAATTTTTTAAAATATAACAGTTCAAACAACAACACACGACATTTTACAGACCATACATGCACCCGAAATCCCAATCCCACACAAAATAAAATGTCTTTCCCACACCCGTGCACCCTTCACCATGACTTCAGATGCTGAAGCACTATGAAGCCTTTAAGTCCATTTATCTATCCTTAATGACCTTTATCACAGCTCAGTGTCTGTTGGTGGAGCAACTGCCTTGAACGTGATTCTCTGCTTCCTTTTCACAGATGCGCACAACCCGCAAAGTGTCTGTGTGGCCTGTGGGGCTGGTGGGCGGACGACGGTATGAGCGGCCAGTTGTGGAAAAGGGAAAGGTGGTTGGCTGGTACACTGGTTGGCGGGCAGGCAGACCTTTTGCCATTGATATGGCAGGTGAGTAGCTATAGACTGATTATGGATGCAAACCTGCTCAGCATGACCCAACCTATATGCACTTCTGAAGAAGCCAGCTAAGAATATTTTGATGTACTCTATTGAGGAGGGTGCAAAAACTCAGGTGTCTGTTTTTGTTTTGGAGCACATTTTGGTAAAGATACTCTTTTAACTGCTAGGATGATCTTACAGCGCTGAGCATCTCAGTCTTGAAAGACAATTTAAATAAAGACAATTAAAAATTAAATCAAGAACGATAGAGATAAAGACATTTGAAAACAGTTAAGATTTCCTTCTAATAAGCAGGAATTCCCAGGATGTGAGTGCCTGGGTATTGGCAGATTATAAACTCCACAATTTGGGCTTCTGGGAGTTTAAGACCAGCAATATCTGAAAAATTTGAAAAGTTTGGCATTAATAACAATCTAGACTGAGCAACACAATGTGTAGATAAGAACAAGATTGAATGAGATCTCATGGAAATTAAATCTATTGGTTTGTTTGCTCAAACAAATAGGTTGTGTTGTGCTGTGCTGTGCTTTGCCGTGTTCATTCAACATGCAATATTGTGATAATATGATTTGTGAATAAAATGAATACATTTGTTGGCAGATTAAAACTGTGTACATGTGCACGCACACACAATGATAACGTGATTATTATTTTTACAAATGGAAACCCTTCCAGAAAGTAGTCAGGGTGGGACCAGGGCTCAGCCTCTGCTCTGCACCTACCTTCTCACTTGAAACAAGTGTCCTGCCAAAAGGCAAAAGGTTCTTTTTAGATCTGAAGGCAATATGCACACAAGTGGCTATAATTCCAGAAATAAATTTATTGAAGAAGCAGGTGCAATGACAAAATACAAACCAAGCAAGTTTTTCCTCAGTCTGTTGTCAGGAACCTATGAGACAACAATGAGCAAGACTCCAGTCTGACCCACATGCAGCACTGTCTGGACTCAGCCTGCATTGAAGTTCAGCATTGGGCTAAGATGTAAAGATTTGCTAAAGCCAAAACAACACCATCTTAACGTTTGTGTGTGTGTGTCAGGAGCGACTTGAGAAACTGCAAGTCGCGCCTGGTGTGAGAGAATTAGCTGTTTGCAAGGACATTGCCCAGGGGATGCCCGATGTATTACCATCCTGTGGGAGGTTTCTCTCATGTCGCTGCATGAGAAGCTGGAGCTGATAGATGGGAGCTCCCCCCGCTCCCTGGATTTGAACCGCCAACCTTTCGGTCAGCAGTCCTGCTGGCACAAGGGTTTAACCCATTGTGCCACTAGGGACTCTACCATCCTAACTGATTATGCCTGTTTTTCCCCTGGTGTTTTGACATGGCAAGATCTCCCAATAATTTTGCAAGAAGAGGAGTAAATGTCAGCCATCTGAACTAAGTTATTTATCCTCATTGCAAGGTCCTACTGTCCCAATCAGCTGGTAACCTTAAAAATAGGCATAGGCAAGAAAAACAATCCTTCCCTTAAAGGAGACTTTACGACTTTTTAGGGGGCATAGAAAGAAAAGGGATGATGGGCATAGAAGGACGGGGCAACTGTGCACATGACATAGCTTGCCTCCTCGAGATGACAATAAGGTAAAGGTTTCCCCTTGACATTAAGTCTAGTTGTGTCTGAGTCGGGGAGGGAGGGTGCTGCTCATCTCCATTTCTACACTGAAGAGCCTGCCTTGTCCATAGACACCTCCAAAGTCATGTGGCCAGCAGGACTGCATGGATCACCGTTACCTTCCTGCTAGAGCGGTACCTAATGATCCACTCACATTCACCCGGCTCTCTGAATTCGAACCACCAACATTTCGGTCAGCAAGTTCAGCAGCTCAGTGGTTTAACCCACTGTGCCACCGGGGGCTCCTCAAGATGAGAATAGTCTTCTGCAAATCTCTCCTTACTACAAGTAGGTTACATAAAATGTTCTGTATTCCTCCTTCCCTTTATGTTCAGTGACTTGTTAATAGCCATCTCTGGGCCTCAGGATTTGACTCTGAAAGCTTAAGGCCTTGAATGGCAACTCTGCCTGTAAGTGACTTAAGAGCCTGCCCCTTATTCCGCCTTACAAGCTCCTCTGGGTGATTGGAGCAAAGTGGCCGCTTCCTCAGTGGCCTACCAGTTGATTCTGCTGTCATTTATTATCTGTAGGAATTACCTCACTTTTCTCCCCCAGTTGCCCCGTCACAAGGACAAAAACACACAAAAAGAGTAGATAGAGTGGTCAAGCTGAGTGTAGGTATCTAAATTTATGGAGAGACACAAAAGTAGTCGAAGGAATTCGGGAGGGAGTGGGGGGGACGGGAACAAAAGCATTTAATGCTTCCAGGGTTATAGAGCAACCAAAGAATGAAAGGATCAGAAGAAGAATGTGGCATTTTATGATATGCCAGTGATACCTGGCAGAATGAATTAAAATTTTATCTCATACACCTGCCTGCTTTTAAAAATATCTGCAGCATTTTCAGCTGAAAATGAGCAAAGATTGGAAGCAGGAGAGCTTTTTTTTTTTGTACCAACATGACTTTATCTTCATCCCTCTCATAAGTGGTGTGACTGTAATAATTTAATTTGGTTTTTAATAACAGAAAAAAACCACTCTCGTTTATTTGAATGCTTTATGGCATTTCGGTTTAAATGCTTGACTGGGTTTCTTCTCTGCACCTTGGTTAATTACTGCAGGCAGCTCGTATCTTTCATTGCCTGAACATTATATTCTGTGCACAGGAAAACAAGCGCTGTAGGGTGAGTCAAAGGTGGGGAAAAATGCTGCATCATCATGAAAAAATAATATTGCACAAGCCCATAAAAAGGAAGTCTGTGGTAGCTTGTAGGGTAGCTCTAGTGTGAAACCCCATGCTTAAGGGGGAATTTGACAACAGCCAGTAAAGCAGAAAAGCTTCAGAAATTAATACCATCAATCTTCAAGCTGTACAGTAACTGGCTACACAACTCAGTCTTGCTGTTAGTCTGCATGCTTGGTCAGTCTTTTGTGTAGGCTGGATGCATCTCAAGTGCTGTCAGAATTGGTTTTGATACAGTGGCAGCTATGCTGCTGCTCAGCCATGAGATTCGCTATTTCAGAAAATGCCGTTCAGTGCTGTGTGCGTGTTTTGGGAGTGGGAAGTTTGTTTTTACAGCATTTCAGTACTATGCAACAGCTGAAGCTGTATGGCGACTTCTAAAAACAAAGCGTATAGCTTTTGGAAAAATGGCATTCATAATTTTTTTGAAAAGAAAAATGATGTCTTATCCTTTTGGCAAATGTGAATCAGCATGAACATCCGGAGACCACGTTTTGAAAACCACTAGTCAAGGAAAGGCATTGGGGGGACTGGGCTTACCAGATTTTAAACTATATGACGAAGCCAGCGCCATAGACTGGCTCAAAGATTGGATGTTTCTAAATAAATCTAGATTATTAACACTGGAAGCCCATGATCTCAGATTAGGATGGCATGCGTACTTGTGGTACAATAAAAACAAAATCTGAAAAATAATTTGGGAACCATTTCATCAGAGGGGCCCTAATAAAAATTTGGGAGAAGCACAAAAATAAAATTTATACAAAAACTCTCCTATGGATTTCCCCCATGGAGGCTTGTCAAATACGAGAATTGGGGGGAGAAAAATGGCCCACCTACAAAGAAATCCTGACCATTAAAGATGGAATTGCTTGCTTGGAAACACAAGAGGAATTACAACAAATAAAAACATTTCCTGGTATCAATATTTTCAAATAAGGGAACAATTCAGAAAAAAAATTATGGATAAAAATTCCACCTGGGACAAAGCAATTACAGATACAGAACAAATTTATTACAAAGGTATATAAAGAACTATTGGAATGGGAGACTGAAAAAGAAAAGGTAAAGTACTGTATGGTAAAATGGGCGGCCAATTTTGGCTATACAATTAGTTTGGATGACTGGGAAAAAAAGTGGACAAGGAAAATAAAACTTTCTTATTCATACGACTTCCAGGAAAACTAGTACAAGATGTTTTTCTGGTGGTATATAACCCCGACTAAACTCTCAAAATGCTATAAAAACACGAAAGATAAGTGCTGGAAATGCGGCAAAGAAAAAGGGACGTTTCATCACTTGTGGTGGAGCTGTGAAATAGCTAATAAGAACTGAGGGAGATACACAAAGTGACCCAACTAATTTTAGAAACAAAATTCCAATTTAAACCGGAATATTTCCTCTTGGGTATGTTAGATCTCGATGGGACAGAAACAAAGAAGCGCTATTCAATTATTTAATATCAGCAGCGAGAATAGTTTATGCGCACCACTGAAGAGGAAAAGAAATTCCTAACATTAAAGAATGGTTAAAATGATAGAAATCAGAAATATAGATAGCCTGACACAAAAACTTAAACATAAACATAGTAAAACAGTAGAAGATTGGAGTTTATTAACAAAATTTATGAATAAAAAGAAAATGGAAATTTCGATTTAATCGATACAGGAGAAGATACTTCATCCCTACAAACACTGAAGAAGAAGAGGACACATTACTTAAGAAGAGTGTAACAGTGAAGACAAAACCCAGAAATGAGAAGATGGGAAGCCAAATCCACCTCTTCCCCTTCCTCATGTGGACCCCCTTGTCCCCCCATCACCCAGCCTTCCACCTATGTTTTCCTAACACCCCCTTTTTATAAATCACTTTCCCTTCCCACCCCCCTCCTCCCCCAACCTTCTCCCTCATTCCACCCCTTTTCTTTCCTCTGACTTTTTTTAATGTAACTGGAAAAATATTCAATGAAGATATATTTAAAAAAGGAAATGCATTACCTTGTTAGAAGTCAACTCTTTGAAAAAGTAAAAGTGATGTTCACAAGCATTCATATAATGACACACAAGTAACTCAGCTGTTAAACTGATAAACGATGTCTTTGAACTGCCAGGGACAAAGACATGCCACTGCACAAAAAACATATACTTAGCTGTCAAGAGTTTTGAATTTTTTTCATTGAAATTGAAATTGGAG